TTATTATTTCTCGGATTTCTAACTTTGCTACTCTGCACAGTTGCATAGCATCTTGGGTGGGATAAACTAGACTTCCTTCGTTCTCGAAAGCGCTCATACATATGTCCAATTCCAGGTTTTTGTAAAAACAGCGCACTGTTAATTCTTTGCTTTTTATATTACTCGTACTACATATCTAGCGATGTATGTAATTATTTGCTCACTATATTCGGACATTCGAAGCAACGTGCTGCAAAAATTATCGAAATTACAGATACTACTCATAATAGATACTACAAAAGTGAAAAAAAAACGAAACGTACGTAAACGTACTAAACGACATAACAAAAGAGTTATAGAATATTTTTATAATATTGCTAAGGTCATAATAATTTTCGTCCCTTTGTTTTCAAAATCGATCAGAATCGAGAACAGTGTTGCCTAACGTATATATACAACACTAAATATTAAATTTGGCCAAAGAAATGTACAAGCGGCCGTACCACGAAACTGAATGCATTATACAAAAGTGCGTTCGTTCGATATTCATGGCGTATTAACAAAGGATCACAAATATATCGCACCAAGTAAAAGCCGCTATGTATTACAAATCATGAGGCATACACTCGGTTGCATATTTGTTTTCTCGAAACTCATACAAAACCAAAATAATTGGTTTTAAAACAAATTATGCATCTTCTGATTACAAAATCACTTGCCCGTGGAAGGAAATGTCCCTGTTTACCCGTTTGCCCACATTTATGGTGTTTTTGCAGTTTAGAATGGCGCAATTATGCATTTTTTCGCGTTTACGACTGGTGTTTATCTACGATAACGGTCGAGCGCGTTCTGAAGTGTAGCAGCGGCAAGTAAGTGAATTTTACTTCCTTTGGGCACGCGAAGTACACTTGCGGCGTCTATCTAGATATATGTCTGTGGTTTTCAACCAGTGCGTCCTGCCTGTTATGATTTACGGAGCTGAGACGTGGACACTCACGATACGGCTAGACCACCAACTTAAAGTCGCTCAGCGAACTATGGAACGGGCTATGCTCGGAGTTTCTCTGAAGAATAAAATTCGTAATGAGGTTATCCGACAGAGAACCAAGGTCACCGACATAGCTCGTGCAATAAGCAAGCTCTAGTGGCAGTGGGCTGGCCATATCTGTCGAAGAACCGATAACCGATGGGGAAAACGAGTTCTAGAGTGGAGACCGCGACTCGGCAAACGTAGTGTAGGACGCCCTCCGGCCAGGTGGAGTGACGACCTGCGAAAGGTTGCTGGCGGGAAATGAATGCGACAAGCTGACGACCGGGCGAAATGGCGCACATTGGGGGAGGCCTATGTCCAGCAGTGGACTACGATAGGCTGATGATGATGATGAATTAAGGTTTAAGTGTTTTATAAATAAATAAATGATTTATTTATTTAACTTCAATTGTGACATTAAACTTTATGTATTATTCCTACATAACGTGACCATTATTTTTTTCCCTTAGAGCTGGACGCCCCGTCACTTTATTATTGTTTTAAAAATAATACACAATGGTCAATGATTGAACAATTTTTAAAAAGAACTAAAAATGTTTCAACATTAAAAATAAAAGAATTAATCTTGTGTAGTCTGGTGGGATAGCTTCATATCTTTTTCGCTTCATTAATTCTTTTTCGCTTGTGTCCTGTTTTATCAAGCCGGAACATTGTTAACTATTTTGGGAACAGCGGGACCCGTAACTCAAAAGCGAGACTGTCCCGCTCAAAGCGGGACGTACGGTTACGTTAATTATACACAACCACTGTCTCTGTTAATTTGTCAATTACGGTTAGAAAATATTTTATTTGGTTACTTTTGGGATTATCTTTTCCTTTAATTTTACGCGATGTTTTAAATTTAAATTCGATGTTGATTTGCTGACTAACCTGCACATTATTATATATTTTATATATCTTATTTCCTTAAGATTGCTAATTTTGACTCATATAAAGGTAGCCATGTTACCTTTGGATAATGACACTCACTCTATTACAGAACCACCAACTTAAAAGCAATGTGAGTGGTGTTGCTAGTGACTAGGCATTATTGATAATAATACACCGCGAACTCTTTGCTTTTAACTGGCAACCAAGGGAGTGAACAGCGTGTATGCAACATGGTAATGTTTTTTTTGCATAATATCAAGTGACGGGATGAACAACTCGTGTGACTGATGGTAAGCTACACGCCTGTCCATAATATTTGCAGTGCCGCTCAGAGCTTTAAATCGCATAGATCTGAGGGGCACTGCCCTTGCGCCCGCCACCCTGAGACATAAGTTGACAAATCCTGTAATTTCACCAGCACCCTTAGTCCCTTACCCTTCAAAACCGAAACGATTAATGCTCACACTACTGCTTTGCGGCAGAAATAGGATAGAGTAGAAATAAGGTAGCAGTACTTGCCTAGACGAACTCTTTCACAAAGTGCTCTACTGCTACTAAAAATAACTATAGTATCCAACTGATTAATGAGAAAATTATAACAAACTGGACAACAGCGGGCAGCTGTGCGGTGACGACATCGACGTGGGCGGGGGCTTGCCAAAGTTTGCATATTTATTTTCGGTAAGTTGTTGGTGACATTACAGGCACATGGGACTTGTCAACTTATGTCTCAGGGTGACGGACGAAGTGGTGGTGCCCATAAGATGTTTGCGATTTAAAGCTCTGAATGGCACTGCAACTGTTATGGATAGACGAGTCGTTTACCACTAGGCGTACAACTTGTTCGTCCCGTTACTGGGTATTATAGAAAAAGTTTACCTTAACACCTTGAATATAAAGATAATATCTGATTAGCACGCAGTCAGATTCCACGTTTGAATGTCGATATCAGAACAGAAATCCTAATCGTACTTCACTATTCAACGCAAAGTGGTCCTTTAACGTTAAAATATAAGGTTAATGTTTGAAGTGAAAAGCTTTAACGGCATAGAGAATTTCTCAATAATAAAATACACTCGCCAATTTCCCTGAAACTCGTTTGGGACTCCGAAGCTTATACTTTAGAAAATAGAGTTGTAACGTTTTAGCTACTTTATATCATGATATCATGTAGCACAGTAACTGACATCACTGTGTTATCAGGGACGAGAATCCAAATATAACATGCCTATATTGCCTGTAACAACCATATTTAATTCGTGATGAGTACTCGCTAATAGGCAGTGAAATAACACATTGAGAGAGTCACCGCACTTACGTGATATCGGCTTGAGCCGGTCAGAAAAAGCTATGTAATTAAGCGTGAAACACACTGACAGCGGATGCGAGTCGGGCGCGTGTCGTGCATCCGTTCTGCGCCCGCGCTTGTGTTGAGCGCAATCAATTAAATTTCAATCAGATATTTAATTGACTAAAAAATTAATTGCAATTAATTTATTTACAATTAACATCAATTGCAAATAAACCATTAATTGGTTTATGTTAATTGTGATTTGCAATTAAATCAATTGCAATTAATTTTTTAAATTGTCTTAAGAAATAATTAATACTAACAATTAAATCTGAAACTACCGAACAAAAGCGTCAACTATATATCTGCAATGAAATCGAAGTCTGAAAATGTAAATAGATGTGCCTTTGGGTGCCAGCAAGCGCCTTTGAGTGTCCGTGAGTGCCTTTGAGTGTCCGTGAGTGCCTTTGAGTGCCTTCGAGTGCCCTGGAGTGCCTTTGAGAGCGCGCGAGTGCCTTTGCCACTTTGCCGTTAATTGTTGTAGTCGCGATTGACAAATAATTAATTGTCAATTTTTAATTGCCTGAACAATTAAACTTTGCCCAACACTGGCCCGCGCGTGGTGTGTTGTCGTCCATATAAATAGAGGGAATTACAGTCGCCATGCTCCCGACCTGAGTCGCGCCCGACCCGCACCCGTTCTCTGTGTGTTTCATGCGTAAGAGCAACCCGACCCGACACGCGCCCGACCAGCACCTGTTCTGTGTGTTTCACGCGTAAGAGCAATCCGACCCGACACGCGCCCGACCAGCACCCGTTCTCTGTGTGTTTCACGCGTAAGAGCAAAAGACGTTTAGACGTTTAGCTTCCACTCGGACCACCGACGCGAAACCCACGTTTTTTTCGCTTTTAATACATGGACATAAATTTTTTTCTGCTTAAGCCGTATTAATACGATTCCGTGTCGATAAAAGTGGTGACTCCCTAAAGTGTAGCCATAATTAACTTCTACTAACCACTTTTAATGTAAAACTAGATTATGCCATTATCAACAATCACTAACACGGATTTTAGGTGACGATTTTGTTGTGCACGTTAGATAATTTGAATGTCACAAAAGTAATTGTTATTAATTACATCAAAAAAGGTCTATTATAAACTTGTATTACACGGTATATGTTTCTGAACTATTCTGTTGTCGATAATTTTAAAACCACGATTAGATATACTATCTGTAAAGAGGGAAATCCTGAAATAGCCCATGATTGTTGGCTATTTTTCGTAAAGCAAATAAATTTATCTTGGGTCAAATGTAGGTTATGATAATTTCTTTAAACTCATTTGTAATGTATGTAATAAATATAGATACGAGCCAAAAAACTGGTCTAGAGAATTTCGGAGAATTCTCTCGTAGTCTCGGAGGTTCCCGTGACTATCGTATCGTATCTGGTTTATACGTTACACATAAAGGTATTCACATAAAGTTCATTATGCTATGTACAGGTTCGTTGCAAAAAGTCGCTTCTACCACGGCAATGTAAATTGAGTCTTAATTACAACAGAGCTAGTTTAATTTAGCCACTAATTCAAATGTTTCTAAAAATGTTGAGTTGAACGAACTTATTGCCATTATAATTACCTACCAAATTGAATTCGGAAGCGATCTAACTCCAACTTTTGTCTTCTTCTTATTTTTCTTACTTACGGGTAAAGAGTAAAAAAAATTTAAACTTATTTTCGTTCTTTTTTTTAATTCTTTCCACTAAAGAATTAAAAAAGCAAAGTTTTACGACCATACAGCCAAGTGTTAGCTCAAAATATGATGGACTGAAGCGTCCACTACTTTGTTTATTACTTTATTAAGTATTTGTCGTGCTTTGTGTTCCTCAGTTTTCAAATGAGGAGCAAAAATAGATAAAGACTGGTACACAACAAAATCGTCATCTCAACAATTCTACTCTATATACAATTATTTTAGAAATTAAATGCTCTTACTAAATCAATTTCCGGAACTTTGTTAGATTTAATAGGACAGCAAATTAACATGTTTTAAAGAGACCATATTCTTTCTTAACTTGCCAAAATATTTTTGTTAGAAAAAAGAACATTCTCTATCTATATAATAATGTTATGGAATGCTAATTCTGAATGATACGTTTATTTATTGCTCTGTACTAAAAATATTGCTAAATATTACTTTCACAACTTTAATTTGAATAAATATTGCATTCACAATTTTTAACTTAGTAATATCAATTTGTTATTGTAGATCTATATAAGCACATGTTACATCCCGCGGGGTTAGACTTTATAAAAGAAAGAAAAGAAAATCTTTTTTCACAATCATCAAGACTTTTCTATTTATCGTTCTATATTCAATTTTTACTGATAAATTAAACAAGAATAATTGAAGCTGTCATTCTGTTCAAATGAATCGTCGTGAAGTGTTGTCAAAATTTTCAAGCTTATTGATTTATCTGTAACATCTAGAATTAATTAAACCTTCTAGATTTAAGAATTCATTTTGTAAGCACAGAACAAAACGGTAAAGTTTGGATGATTGTGTTTATTAGATTTCTAATATTCGACTTTATCTATTTGTAACAATGGAGTAATTGTGACTTTTAAATTGCAATATAACTAATTCCTGTTATACCAATTATGTAATAAAACTTGGTAGGAAGCAAAATTTCCGAAAATACGGCCCTTTAGGTAGTAAACAATATTAGATATTTAGTTATTTTAAACTGTTACAATTACCCAATAGTTAGTGTAGAAATCTGAAGGCGCCTAAGTCCTATGGACTTAGAGCGCCTTCAAATTAGACGCTTGTAGAAACGCTTCAGTGGCGCATCTGTGGCGCTGCAGCCGCGGTCTAACTGAAGCGAAGGGGATACTATGGAAACGGGACAAATTTTTGACCCTTTTTTAAATGTTATTGTAGTTTGAATTTGGTTTTGACTTGCTTCTAGTAGAATAGACCGGAATAAACACTTTTTATTCTAATAATTTTTCTTCTACGGCCGATACCAAGAAATTTAGAGGGAACAATTTTTATTTACTAGGAGATCAGCACTACAATATCGATTAATTTTAAAAAAACCGCAGCCGCGCCACTCCTAATTTTAATACAATATTTAGAAGTGTAATTGCAGCGCTACTGTCATGACACGCGCACGCCACTTTTGCAGTCACAATTAGTACATGTGCGGCTGCCGTGCCACAATCGCGTCACTGCAGCTTTCATCATTCATTTATTCATCTATTATCATCTGTTCCTAAGTTCGTTCGACTTTATCTTAAAACTGTACTGTGTTAGTGCTTACCAACAACTTGTCTAATTTTCCACTATTGCTAACTCTTCTTCTTCACCCGATGTATTCGTTTTCCCATCAATGTGAGCGAGATTCGCTTCCGAAGATTCATTACTGGACCCCTGAGATCTTGGACTAGCACTCGTTCTTACGTAAAGAACATTTGAATCCAACCTACGATCGTTACCATAGGTTCCACCGTCAGATATCCTATTCAATTTGTGAATTTGTTCACGTAACTCACAAACTTGACTGTACAATTTCTTATTTTCTCTCAATATTGCTACATTCTCTGTTTCTAGTAACTCCCTTTTACTCCACTGGATTGTGTTTTCAGACTTCAATCTTTCCATTTCCATTTTGTACTCTGTCACTTTTTCCTCGAGAACTTGCTTAGCTGCAATTTCGTCTTGTAACTCATTTTGAAGTTTCTCAACTTCGCTATGACTAGAATCAGTGGACCCCAATGTCCTGTCACTGTGTGTCAATTCCATTTTTGTATTATGTAATTCTGCTGTAAGAGTCTCAATTTTAGCAAGCAAGAATGCTTTTTGATCCTTCTCACTTTGCAGACTTTTACACGTGTCATCCAGCCGAATTCTCATTTCATTAAACTTATTGGCCAGTACGTTATCAACATTAGAGAATTTGTGAGAATCCAATGAAGCTCTTTGGCGTATTGAAGGTTCATTAGGGGAAACGTAACCTAAATTTTTTCTTCTCAATTCTACGCCATCTTCCGTTGACAAGTCACCAGACACTATTCTGCTTTCTCCTATGCTTAGAAGTTTCTCATTGTCTCTTTTCAGGTCCATCAATTGTTGTTCCAAATTGTTCTTTTCGGTTTTAGCTGTCGTCAATTCTTTTGTGATAAATTCAACTTTATTTTTCAACTGTTTGACCTCTTCTCTAGCCTTGTTGCGTTCAGTACGAACCTTGCTCCACTTCTCTCGCCAGTTGGCCGTGCAGTCTGACCACCAACGCATGGTTTTTTCCATTTGCGTAGCCCGAGCTCTTGCTTCGTCAAGTTCCCTCTGATATAGGGCCTCTTTGGCTTCCCAGTCAGTGTTAGTGTACCTCATGGATGCGCCGTCGTGGTCTCGACTACGTCGATGACTGCCACCGTGGGAGCTTTGAGCCATTTTTCATTTGTTTCCTGAAATTAAAGCATATTCTAAGTCTCTCACCCTATTCTCGTGCCCTTTTATTAATCGTACAAGAGATATATTATTATTATATACTATTATATAAATATAATATAGTACTACTCGTGAAAAGTAATATCGTCTAATATAGTTCATTTTATACAGTGAAAATGAGTTGCAATCCCCCTCCACCACCATGCTCTCCCCCAGCCCCGCCGCCATGCCCGCAAATTTGTACACCACCAACGCCGCTGGCGCCTTGTCGACCGAAGCCAATTCTGAAGGTGCTACATTCATTTTTAGTTTAAATACACTTAGAAGTTCTAAAATCTGAGCGGTTTGTTTTTTTTTATAAATAACAACATCACATGTACGTTGCCCGGATCCCAAAGTAAGTAGCCAAAGCACTTGTACAAAGTACCACAAACACCCACACTCGAGACAATATATAAAACTTAGTTTTCTACACTGACCCGGCCGGGGATCGAACCCGGGACCTCAGAGATGGCGACACTATGAAAACCACCGCCTCCCTTTTGTGCGGTATCATTGTAATAACTTTTGTTGTAAGTGCATCGTCATAGACAATCTTGTAGCAGCATTAAAAAGTAACCACTGATGAAGAAATGCCTCGCAAACCCTGCTAGCAGGGCATGGTCAATAATGTCATTCAGTCCAATAGGATCCCCTAGCCCAATTCCCAGGGGAACCTCGTGAACTCAGCAGTTCATACCTTATGTCAAAGAAAATTTAAGGTTTGATTCTACTTGTCGGCACGCATCAGCAGATCTTTGCTAAACATGTGTTTTATATGTGGTATCATCAGTATGCTTCAGCATCAATTGATCTGGTCACAGTCCATATAAAAAAGTTTATTATGGATGCGGTGCTGATGGATGCTGACTAATAATTATGTGTCCGGGAGTATATTATACTTATGGGCGATAATGAAAACTTTATCTTCCTACAAGAAATTACGCTTCGAGGAAAAAAAATACGTATTGGCTACCATTTGTTACAAAGCTAAAGGAGTATTTTATTTATACAGGGTTTGCATTGGTCGCAGACAAAGGCTATCATAGCTAGCGCACTAGTGTTTAGTATGATAGCGGGTGCGTGTGTTCGAACCTTTATAGGACGACCTCGCATTGCGGCTTATAAGGACTATTACGAGTAAGTTTATTTACGTATTTACTTGCCAACAGGTCTACCAGATCTCATGACCAATGCAACATTTGATAAAACTGTTGTAAACATTCTCAAGGTCGTATTCTAGAACTATACTCAATACTCAAGTCAGGACTTGAGTTTTGCAGTGAGCACTAAAAATCATACTCAAGTTCTTGCCATTAGGGTCGTATTTCCAGTGCTTGAAATCATACTCAAGTCTGCTCAAATCCTAACTTGAGCATTGAGTAGAGTTCTGGAATACGGCATTGAGTAGAGTTCTGGAATACGACCCTTAGTATTGTTTTTTATCGTTCTGATTTTTTATTATAAGTAATTGATTGTATTTGTTATAATATAATTAATTTGTTGTATACAATACAGAATGTCCTAAAATTCAATGTCATATGGGTACCGGGTGAAAGGCCAAGTTATACCAGTTCTGGCAAAATAAACAGAAAAAATTCTATGTCGCTTAGTTAAGTGATAATAGGCATATTTTTGAAAGTGTTGTAAATCGACGCCATAGGTCACATCTGTGCATACTGTTCTTTTTTGCACTTCCAATAATTTTGGATGTATAAATTGTTTGCCTTCAGCACAAATACAGATTGAATAGATGATTTGCCCAGAGTGGTGTAGTACTTTTTTTTTTATATTATTATTTGTATGTCAAAGTTTTGTTTTCGCCGGGGGGCGTAATCGAATCAGAATTTAGCCCCTCACAATGGACAAACAGCACCATCATACTTATACACAAGAAAGGAGACAAAGGAATATTCTCCACCATAGGTCAAATGCACGCCATTAAACACGAAATCACAAGAATGTGGGTACCCACTATACATGGGGTTCATAGACTACAATAAAGCTTTCGATTCTATAAACCACAATCACATCTGGATAGCTTTACAAAAGCAGGGTATTGAAAAGAAATGCATAAGGATCATAAAGAACATTTACTCTAACAGCACAGTACAGGTGAAATTAGAATCTCTATGAAAACCATTTCAGATACAGAAGGAGTCCGACAAGATAACCCACACTCGCCAAAACTCTTCTCAACGGTTCTCGAGAATGTCTTCAGAAACCTCGAATGGAATGATAGAGGCATATACATAAACGGTGAAAGACTGCACAATCTAAGGTTCACGATCCTCTTTCCCTACAATACATGATCCAAGGCAATTGCAACTAAAAGCAAAGAAGTGGGTTTAACCATTAATAAAACAAAAACCAAAGTAACGACTAACAGATCTGAAAAGCCTCGTAGATCGGGAATACATTGAATATGTAGGATCCTACATTTGTCTGGGCCAATTATTGTCGTTTAGTGATCAAACGGAGCAAGAACTAGAAAGAAGAGTTACCAACTCTTGGAGCCGGTATTGATCACTCAAAGACCTATTTAAAGACAAGTGCTATCCAATGGCAGCAAAGAGAAAGGTCTTTACCATCTGCGTCCTCCCAATTTTGACCTATGGATGCCAAACGTGGGCATTGACTAGTAAACACCATCAGAAACTCACAACCTGTCAAAGAGGAACGGAGAGAAGTACGCTGGGATTCTCTCTAAGAGTCGTATTCCAGAACTCTACTCAATACTCAAGTCAGGACTTGAGTATTGCAGTGAGCACTGAAAATCATACTCAAGTCCTTGCCATTAGGGTCGTATTTCCAGTGCTTGTGTTTCCAGTGCAATCCTGACTTGAGCATTGAGTAGAGTTCTAGAATACGACCCTAAGAGACAAAAAGAGAGCTACAGACATACGAAAGACTACTAAATTGGAGGGTGTCACCACAAAAACCAAAACACTAAAGTGGAAGTGGACTAGCCACATGTACAGGGAAAGAGTAGAAAAGTGGGCTAGACAGGTTACAGAATGATTGCCAAGAGAAAACGTCAAGAGGAAAAGAGGTCGTCCCTTTAAAAGATGGTCCGATGACTTTAAAAAAATAGCTGGACCTCTATGGACTAGGCTAACAAGAGAGCCAAATGGATAGAGGTGGGGGAGACCTATACGTCTTCAGGATGCGCTGATGTTATAGATTAAGTAATTTACTAATATAATTGTCAATGTAACTGAATTGTCAGTATAATATAGGTTAATAAATAAAGTATGTCAAAGTTCTTTTTTTGTATTAAGAATTTATTTTTTTACTAAATTAACAATATTCATTGTTTGATTTGTGACTGCGGTTAATGGCACGGTTATTTAGGATTACATTAAAAAAACACTGCAAAATCGGAAAAATTGTAATCACAGAACTCAAAAATGTGTTCTAGGATATCTATTTCCAATATTTTCAAAAATATGCCTATTATCGCTTAAGTGGCATGGATTTTTCATAATTTTGCCACAACTGGTATAGCCTGACCTCATGTCTGCTAAATATTGAGTGTTTCTTTTTACTTTTTCTTTTTCTTTTCTTTACATTAACTGTCGTTCACGACTTTTTTGACGTTACGACGACAGACTGTCATGATTCATGACAATGGGAAGAGCAACCGTCTGACGATAAATAAAACGTCACGGTAAAAATGTGACGACAGTCTGTAGTGCGAACAACAAGGTGGCTGCAGTGAAACCATAAATTGTCGACACGATCTAATGGGAACAGCCAGACACGACAGTCGTTCAACGATAAAATAAACATCCACGACATAGTCACGACAGATAGTCGTGATATGGGAATATGCTAGATGCGACAGTTGGTCAACGATGTATAAAACGTTACGACTCAATGGGAACGCGCCCATATAGTTAATTTTTTACATTCCAACCTTTGGAAAGTTATACAAATAGTTGAAATAGAAAATGGGTGGGATCAAATGTTTTATCCTTATTACCAGTCAAACATGTGTCATGTTACCTTGCTTTTAAAAGTGTCTTATGCCCATATTTCCAAAAATATTCTAATTGGCACAAGATTTGGTGGTTTCGAAATTTATCTATAGATCTCTCGGCAGTCCCTATAATTACAATGAACATATGACATTTTAACAGGTAATACACAGTCATAATATCAAAGGGTGGGTTTTGAAAAATAAATAAGTAATAAATATATATTATACATCATATATCAGTCGCTTAGCAAACAACACTGCATAAGTAGTTTGGAGTAATTTCAAAGGAGTGGAGAACTACACTTCAAATCTATTATTGGTAATAAGTGCTCTATATATGTACAACACATAATTGCAGATCAGTTCGTTGTCAAATTTTAATTGATTCACGTTTTATTTGGACTTGAGTAATGTTCAAAAGTAAACAACAATTTTCCACTTGAGCGGTGTTGTCTGCTAAGCAACAATATGTTGCTGCCACACCAAAGTAAGTAACTAAAACACACAAACACCCAGACCCGAGACAACATAGAAATAGTAGATTGTACAACAAGTGCATAAAACACGTCATTGTACCTGAGACGAGTATATCCTTAAGTCGAGGGTAAAATGAGTTATACAATCTGCTTTTCACTTTGATTGACAGGAAATTAAACACCAATATTACAAATAAACGATAACGATAACTCGACTATTGCCAAGAAAATATAAGAATTTTCAGCCAATGTACTACTTTTCTTTTCTACATTTGACTCGGGTCGGACTACATAATGCTCAGTTATATTTGACAAGCTTTTATTTTTTATGCATTTCTATTTCTTATAACTTATTAGAATTACTATTGCCTACTTTTTTATTTTGTAATATAACACAGATTAAAAAAACAAAAGTAAAACTTTATTTTATAAAGTTTTAGAGTGAGTGGCTGTTGGCGCAGGCGTCATTGCCTCGGTCTTAAATGACGATTTTATTCTATGCACTAGAGCATAAAATCCTATTTTATGCAGCCTACACCCAGCATAAATACGAACTTTAAGAGCATGAAAAGTAAAAAAGTTAGAGATAATAGAATAATAAATAAGATAGAAAGATAGTTTTCTACATTGACCTGGCTGGAGATTGAACCCGAGACCTGAGAAGGCGACTCCATTGAAACCGTGGTGCAAGCCACTCCACCACGGAGGCCATTGTATAAAAAATATTAGACAATTATATTTTAATAGAAAGGCGACAAAATGGCAATTCTTGTTGCTGTACATTAAATTCCTTTTTTATTTCAAAATTGTGATTAGTCTTGTACACATATATATAGAGTTCTTAAGTTTTCGCGATTGTTACACATAGGAAATGAAACTGTTTTTCCGGATTTAAATCACGTATATTTGTTTTTTCAAACAAACTGACATTTCGGGCCCTTTACAGGTCCCATAGTCACATTGTCAGTCAACTGTAACAACAGGACCTGTGAAGAGCCCGAAACGTCAGTTTGTTTAAAAAAACAAATGTACGCGATTTAAATCCAGAAAAAGTTTCATTACCCACATACACACATCAAAAAAAGTTTGCGATCAATAGCATAAACTCCTATAATTCTTTAAATTTAACTTTATCAAGAAAAAATCTATGTTGTATGCTTTCTTTAAATAGGAATACCCTGTTTGAAATTAAAATATAAAACTATTTTTTATTATTTATTTTAAAAAATTGAGCCATTAATCATAATGTAATAGTGATAGAAATTTCATAGAAAGAAAAAGACTGTTTAATTAAACTTAAACAACAATTTATTATTAAAAGGTGTGAATTCAATATAAAATAACTCCTCCCCTGGCTCGAATACATGCGAAGATCCTCCTGGGCATGCTGAGGATCAAGTTATCCAGCATTTCCTGGGGTAACCTATCCCATTCTTCAATAGCGGCTTCCCTGAGCTCTGGAACTGTCTGGGGACGTGGCTCACCGTTCCATACTGCTCGTTTAAGAGCATCCCACGCATGCTCTATTGGGTTTAAGTCGGGCGAGCCGGCAGGCCAGTCTAATCGTGTGATATCGTATTCTTGAAGAGCAGCATTGACTCGTTGAGCTCGATGTGCGGGCGCATTATCATCGACCAGTACAAATTGGTGCCCATGGTTTACTCGGAATGGTCTGACGATATCATCAATAGCAACTGCTTTGTACATGTCTGCTGTCATGAAGCCCCGATACGGGATCAAAGGCGTTCTAGCTCCAATCATAATGCCACCCCAAAAGGACACCGATTTTCCGCCTTGCTGAACTGTTCCAGTGGCAGATCTTTGTCTTTCACGGTCGCCTGGTCTTCTCCAGACACGGACACGTCGGTTATCTGGATGAGTGCTGATTCGGGATTCGTCAACGAAGAGACAGTTTTGCCAAATGTTTTCGTCCTCACCTTCTTCATTTTGCCGAAGTCTAGCCCACTGCAATCTTCGTTGTTGACGTTGCCGGGAATTGAGCGGAGCTCGCCAAGACCTCCGTGCTCGTAATCCAGCCTGGTGCAAGCAATTGCGAACGGTCTGCGTGCTAACTTCAAGCCCAGAGGCGGCCCTGACTTCTGCTTTTATTTTAGTGGCGTTGATTGTTGGATCACGGGCTGCCAGCAATCTAATATAGCGCTTTTGGGCAGCTGTCAAAACAGTTGGGCGACCGCTGCGGGGTCGGTCAGCTAAATTCCCCATTCCGTGATACCTCTGCAACGTAGCCACGACACAGGATTGGGATATAGCAAGTCTGCGTGCTATTACTCTCGTGGTGTATCCTTCTTCCCTCAAAGTTACTATTCTAGCTCGTAAAACCTCTGATAATCCTCTTGGCATTTTTTCAATCACAACTTTCCGCGAAAAATATCTTGAATCGCTTATAATTGACTAAATCAGATCTCTGAATGAGCGTAAGCTAGGACTGAAAGCCTTTTTATATGAAAAAACAATTGAACGGGGTCATTGTTTTATGTTCTAATTTATTTTTAAATAAAGAATCTAAAAAGAAGAAAAAATCATAATATAATCTACAGTAACAAAAAAGATTTCAGTTTTTCGAAGTGATCGCAAACTTTTTTTGATGTGTGTATATATATTTACATAAAATTTTATACATAATTTAACCATGTACATAAATAATGTTACATATAATTTCACCGTATATATACTTTTACATTACATCTTGTAGCTTCATATGAAAGTTAAAAAATATATATTGTGAATAATATCAACGGCATTGCTTACAAAGTATGCAATTTCTATAAGGACTTTAGGAAAAGTTGGGAAGGATCGAATCCAGCATGCTTTGCCTGCATATGACTAGCAGTGTCAACACAGCAAAATTAATAGTAGACGACGTACTTTGACCTATTTAAAGCCAGGCTTTGAGGACTTTGCAACTCTTCACAAATGTGCTACGTGAATTTATTTACCTGTTAAGAGTTTCTAAAAATTGCACATAATTAAAATTGTTTAGTATCTTTCTTAAATTTTGGAAAAGTATATTGCATGAAAATTTTACATATATTTTGTAAGATCATTGTTAAGCCAATCATAAACTAGAAATTAAGTATAAATAAAAATGTAACAGAAACTGATGTAGGTCGGTTGCTTAATGGTTTAATCTTTTTACTAAAATACAACAAATAGTCCAAACTCAAAACATGCTGTTGTAATTTGCTTACCTTAGCTCACATATAGGTAATTACCACATTCATAATTAACAGATTAGTATGTTTTTATCATACAACCTGAAGAACATTTAGAATGCTTTAGAATGTACTGTACTGTATTATCAGCATTAGTATTTTGTAAGAAAAATTACATTTCCGAAATCATCAATCACCAGCAAGTTTTTTAATTTTTTATTTTTTTTATTAATAGTTTTGGCTTGGATACAAGTCCTTTGAGCTATGTCTTCGTTTAATTATTGGGATCCTCAGTAATATTTTCGATTGTAGTTCTAATACAAGTTTTCACTTTGTCATAGATAACTTAGTTCACTTATTTGGGTTTCTTAAACAGTCTTTTAAGTCAATATTTATGTTTTCACTTTCATTTAAACCACATTATTATCGCTTTAAATAAAAATTTTGAATTCGTAATTAGTGGAATGTTCAGGATAAAGTCTCTTGTAATTTGATTTAAAATAGGGAATATAGTTCTAACTTTTTCATCGCTATTTCTTTTTTGGTTTTTTTCATAATATACTTAAAACAAAAATAGTCTTTGTAAAAACTGTAAGTACTTCTTCCGTCCGCTACTAAAAGTGCCAAAATATTTTTTGAGATATCATAAAAAACCATAACCCAGTTTTAGAATATTAAAATTGGTTAATGATTTTTCAGCTATGCATCGTTAGGGTAAGTTTCGATAAATCGAACACGTTAATTAATTTGAACTGTTTTTTTTTGTGTTAATTAATTTTTTTACTCAAAATAGATATTAGACCATTGTCACTTAGCCGCGTTTTAGTTAGTGGACGGCAGACTTTGTAACTTCAAAAACCCGCCATTTCTCTTTTAATTTATTTGTAAATGAACCATGAGCTTTGGCTGCGAGGAATCAGCTACATGTTTACAATGGCCTGTTTACATTGACACAGTGCTTCGCGCTAGTAGCACTGGCATGTCAACGTTCGGCAAATATTGATAATATCTAAACACGTATGCTTTTCTGCAAATTCACAGCTGGCAAATCGTCATGACAAAAACAAAGTGGCTGCAGCTGCCTATTTTATATTTCCTTATTGGTAGCCACTAGGCTTGGTCAGTGCAGTGTCAGTTTCGATGTATGTTCTCGGTTATTTATTACTGATGAGAATGTCAAAGTCTAGGTACCAGCGAGGTATTAGTTTTTGGAAGAATCTCCTTCGTGTCAATGATTCATGATTCATAAACCCCATGAAGTAATGTAATCGACAAGGTCCAGCACTAGGGTTTGCTAGTGGTACTGGCACCTATCAATTAATTTATTAGATTATTAGTGTTTTAAGAATAATAAACAACTGTTGTATAGTTCCACATTCAAGACCTGGGCCTTGATTTTGATTGCCTCTCCCGATCGCAAACTGCGTCTTTTCCGAGTCGAGGCGTATAATATTGCGGATGGGCTACCCGATCGAATCGATACCGATTTGAATTAAAATCAGGGCGCAGGTCGTGCTTGACAGTTTTTTTATGATATCAAGTGACGGAACGAACGAGTCGTGCTCCTGGTACTAAGCGACACGCCTGCATATGAGTATAAGTACTAAAGAACGCCTGTTCATAACAGTTGCTGTGTCACTCAGAGCTTTTAAATCACAGATCTGAGAGATACTGTCACTGCGCCCGTTACCCTGAGACAAGTTGACACGTATCTGTAACCACCAGCACTACGAATTCACTTTGAAACCTGCTTTGGCCCAATTGGAAATTTATGGGATTCGTAAGAATGCAGGTATTGATGCGATGTCTATCACATGTCTTAGAACATTTACAACTCTCCTCTAAATCACAAAGAGCGTTAAAAAGTTATGATCAAAATGCTCCTTTCTCATTGTAATTTTCCTTCTGATTTCATTTGGGAATAGGATGTGGACTGTATTGTCTGTATACGTTCATTATTTTTTTCTAGAAAAGCGGAGTTCGATGAATGGGCTGATGAAATGGCCAGGAAGGGCTTATTCCAAGGCGTGCCTCTGGAGTCCTTGAAAGAAAATAAAGACTAGACAAAATAGGTTTCTTCTTGCTGTTCCTACACAAATACTTTTTTATTTCATTAAATGTTTTTAATTTGCGATTGTATTTCAATTTTTTTTAATATCTTGTTGGAAAAGTCCCCTTAGTGTAATTCGAATAACATACAATGTATCGAAATAGCAGCTATACCCAAAATGGTCACTACAAATTTCAATAGGTAAATATTGCTTGTGTTTTGCTTTAACTCCCCTTGGTAGGAAATTTTTGTGACCTTCCAAAAGTACTAGATCTAAAAACGCGGTAGATAGGTATGGGTTGGTGGTTCTAATTAGTAGCGCTATTCGTTCGGATGATTAATTAAATTGGCAGGAAATAATTACTTTCCACACGAAAGGCCCTACTGAGAAGTACTTCCAAACTATTTTGGACTTCGGGTTTGTTTTTTCTATTTTTATTTTTAATTTAACAGGAAGTGCATCGTGTCGTCACGTTTCATGGCGGCACCCAATCACAAAACATTATAAAATCACAAAAACATGGTGATTATGCTATGAGCCAATCAAAGGAAACCTTCAGTGGAGCATGAAAGAGCGTCGATATGACTTTGTACTAACGTTATCTTTTGTGTCTAAAGAAAATAAATAAATATTTCCACTTTCTAGATTAAAAAATAATTTATGTTTAAATATTCTGTTCTACTACTAAATTTTCCTATTTCAGTCTAATACTTTTACAGATTATATTGCGAAGAAAATATTTTTAAATGTTGTGCTCCCATACAAGGCTACGTTGCGTTTGTTTTCTACCCGAGTCAGTGCGCATGTCAAGTTGAAAATTGCAAATGGCGGCCGTTGTTATTGTTCGTACCGAATTAAATATTTGTAAAATATATACCAGTCTTTTTAGCGATTTTTCTACTGGACTGTTACTTTGATGCGATGCTTTAACTTCTTATAATTCGGCGAGACACGTTTTATGTACATTTTTAAGTGTTTTGAGTGTTTTTTTGGTATTTTATGTGTGTCATGCAAATGGGGTAAGCTGGAGTTATCGGATGTCGTTTAGGTTGTTTTGGACAGTTTCAATGGGAATACGATGTGATGTTTTGTGACCATATGTGTGGAAATGGAAGTAGCATAAAGTTCATTAACTAAATTAGTACGTGTCGAGTGTAGCGAACGTTTGGAACGGCAGTAATTCGCTAATGTTCCATGCCGTGACTGCACTCCCCGTACATTTCAAAATGGCTGCTGCTCTTCTCGATATATGAGCTTTGCGTCACTGGAACATAAATCAGTGGATTCGATTTGTGATGATATTCTAGCGTTTCTAGTCTGGTGAAACAGTGTAGAAAAGCAGAAATAAGCAGTGGACTGTGCCCCGGGTGTGCCTGGGGCGAGACAAAAGTGGTGTATCATATGTTTTTGGAACTGGACGTAGAGTGACCATAGGACCGATATTGCCTTGCGTCCGAGCTCGAGTACTATGCGCTTGATTTTCCAGAATGATTTGGAACACAAAGAAATAGAACTTGTGTGGAATTGAGCGGAATGTGACATTGTATGAGAGGTAGGTGATGTTTTTTTCGGTTTATTTACATACAAAAAGAAGGGTGTTTGGCCGTGCTATGTTGTACAAAATGGGCACATTGGTGGTTGACAGCAGGTCGGGCGGTCGCTGCGGACTTGCTCGTGCGCCTAAAAACCTCTACTTTACTCGAATTTCACGGCTGTCTCGCTACATATATGATTTTCGAAGTTGTGTAACACACGCCGTAATGTTTTTGAAACTTCGACCTTGTCGGTTGTAATATTCCATGCATGAAAGATCGTTGATCGGCTACACTTGCTGCTCTCAGTTGCCGCTGAAAGGCTTATTTTCATCAGAATTAGCATTAACATTCATATTGTTTTTATCTAATTAGCATTGTCCTGTTTGCAAGTGAGTTGTTAATGATGTTTAAAAGTTAGGTTATCCCAAGAGATATTATCATAGCATTTCAGTTGAAACTCACTTTGTGTCCTGTGAGTCATGGTAATCATGAATATACAGAGTAGCATATTAGCTAGAATCAAGTAAACTTTATATTTAATTTAATTACTGCTACTTAAGTTGTATCTTATTCTACAACAATATTAAATGTTTGTTAATACATTAATTGGTATCAAATGTAAATTATGCTGGAAAACCTTTTGCACAACACCGAGTTCATATATTTTATAAAAATATTTTAATTTTAGAGTAGTCTTTTTTATGAATTAAGGTTTTAAATTGGATTATTATAAAATTAAGTCATTTTCTTAATAATTTCTAAAAAAATTAGTAACAAGTTTAAATGTAATCTATGTATAATTCAATTTTATTGGCTTACTACACACACACATATAACTGATATTTATTAATGACCCGTTATTATTTTTGCAATATTTTTTTATTAATGATTTATAATTATTTATAATTTTCTTATTAAACATTAATAAGCAGTAGGTACGTTTAAAAAGAAAAAACACTGCATTTTCCTATTACTTGACTAATCTTGTTACTTTTCAATTTATTCTTTCATTCTAACCTGAAATAATTTATTGATATTAAAATGTATATCAGGATACAGGACAGCATATGGAGGATATGTTCAACCGTGATATCTCATGGTTGATGATAATTAAAAAAAATAAGCACTAAAGGCTGAAAATATACAGGGTATAATTTTATGTGTGCCTAGGCAATTATTTGGTAAATATAAGACATAATCAAAAGCCTTCAATCAAAATTCAATCAAAACAAAGAATATCGAAAGTATGTTATATAATTAGTAAAACAACACCAATAACTATTTAATAATAAATTCACTTTGAGCACATCCATGCATACATGTTACAATTATAAACAATAAAAATGAAGTCATATTAGAAAAAAATGTAAAACCATTTAAGTTTTTTAATTATCTACTTAGACATGTTTTCAGGATAAGTTGACAATTGAAACCAGCTTTGTCTACTTTTGGAAATGTAGTCAATAAGTACATAGGAAGGACTCAAGTCTTTTGTATCCTTTATTTCTTGGATTGAACATACAAGTTCTTATTGAACTGTTATTTGTGTATATACGTGTATTTTCACGGTTATGGAAAACCTACTCTTTATGTATTTTTGAGCTCTTAGACGAAATTTTAAATCTCGAAATTGTACTTAAGTTTATTCTCAAACACTAGGTCCAGTAAAAAATGTTGAGTTTGGTGTTACTTGATACTTGGTGTAATGGGCTGGTATCTGCAACTCCACGTCAAGGCGCCTATTTTGCGTGTTTGAGTTTGGTGTTACTAATATAGTTACATTCATCTAGATAAAACAAATAAGAGATAATTGTGCACTATTTGTAAAAACACACATCAATAGACATTACTATTATGTAGAACTAGGGGCTTACAAGCAAATTATATAATAATAATAATAAACAACATTCCATCCATTTTAGTGGAATTTTAGACTCTTTATATAGGTATTCAATGTATGCAGAATACCTGATGCGGTTGCATGACACGACGATTTTTAGGCCCCCATAGTAATTTCATAAGGTTGTTCATATTCTGGATATACTAAAGTCTACAATATATATATCTTATGCATTATAATTAGTTTAATTTAATTTGTTTGAAGAAAACATTTTAAGATTTAAATGTTAGTCATTAAAAGACAAGTTCAAAAGAAGACTAAAGCTATTTTCTTTCTGAGTTTCTTACAAAATAATTGAGAACTTGTATTTCATTTGTTAAAGAAATAAAAACTTGAAAATTAAGTTTTATGACAACATTTTATTATAGAACTCATTAAAACAACTTGAAACCGATTTCTATTGGAGTTCTTCTGAGTACTGTTAAAACAAGTAAAGTTTAATCAGTTAGGATTCAAAGTTATAGTATCTTTTCCTATATTTAGTGGTAAATAGATAAATTTTGATTTATTGTTTTATTTGTTTTATGTTTTGGTACTTAATCCAAATAGTGGCATGTATATTCATTGTTTAACTATTTTTCAAGGTCACTCTGCAATATTTGTAAATATTTTAAATTTAGTGATGACTTGCTATCCTTACATCAGATAATCTTGTTACATAATATATACCCACAATAATTACATTTCATTCATCCAGAATTTAATCAATATTACAGAAACATGACAAAAATACAAAGGCAAAAAATCGCTACTTCAGAATATGGTGGAAGTGAGCCTCCCCCTGTTTATCTAATGGCGAGAGAGAGAAGAGAGCCAATTATTTCTTTACTCTAAAATTGTAAATACATCATGCTCTATATATAGACTTTTGTTCCAAAAAGACATTTTCAAAGTTTCTCATGATATCTATATTTAAATTGGCATCAAGTTCATGTAATCATAGTGTGTGATAAAGATCTAAAGATCTGTCAAATATTATTAACTTATTATTCTTTCAATTTCTTTACAAACATGTTTCCAGTAGAAAATAATTTTAGTGTAAAATAAAAGAAACTTGCACCAAGAGAAAGTGTTTTGAAATGTAATTATGAGTCATAACATAAATAACTGAAATGTAATCACGAATCATTATAAGAGAAATAAATGGATTACAATTCCTATTAGACAATTTTCCTCGACAATCTTGGAAACATCCTCAATGATAAAGAGTACCTATGTTTACCACAAATTGGGTATAGTCAGCTAAATAATCTGAATGTTCATAAAAAAAATGCTTTTTCAATTGTATTGTGACAAATTTCAATGTCAACCAAAAGTATACCTTACAAGTTCTGGAGATTGATTTTTATTATTATATTAATTATTATAATATCTGCTGTGGTAGAGCTGTAGAAAAGTGGGCATGTTTCCTGAGTAGAAACAATGCTAATCAATGTTAAGAGCCCCATATTTAATATTAATAACTTGGTAAAATCCACTAGGTAATATACTGCCATATATAGGTAATATCATAGGTAGTACTTAGCAAATTTTCGAGAATATCATCTTATTTATTTCCTTTTTATTTGTTTACAATTAGCGACTAAACCAACTACAAGTACAAGTACGGCGCGTGCGCTGCCGTCAAAGGCTTCCGTTAATATAGAGATCTCATACTGGTTGTCAAATTACTGTCATAATATTGTCTATGTATTCTTTGACCTTAGTCCCTCATATAATTGAATAAAACATCACCTACCAATTCACTAAAACTTTTCGAAAATCAGGTACATTATCAATTATTCATACAAACCCTTCAGGTCGAAACATATTTAAATTTAAACCAACTGAATATTGAGTACCTATCCCATGCCTATGTATAATAGACACTATTTCTATCAATATGTCTTGTAAACATCTATATAAATTCAGTGTTGTTATAGACTTTATGTAATTGTTAAAAGCAACTGGATGGATTTTGACTCTGATGTTTAATTAGTATTGCTAAGTATAACAAGTTATTTGTTGCATTGTATTAGGTTGCATAAACTCTGGAAAACCAACGTAACAATAAGATTAATAACCATAATTGGGATGCAATTTTTCACAGAGACAACAAACAAAGTTGATAATGGAGTTACAGAGCAGAGAGGAAGTTGTTTCCATCTTTTTTTGAATGCTTGTTACCTGAATGAGAGGGACCAGTATATACGGTCAGACCATTGGTCAAGAACCCTAGATTTTACCGGAAAAAAAAGAACTTTTCTTGGTAAAGAGCACATCCATCTTGACACTTTGGCTCGTCGCAATCGTCTTATAGCTGAATTGAAATTGTAAATGTTAAGGATGATATGCTCTCGGCTCTGTACTATTTTCCAAATACACAGTTCTATAAAACAACTACGAAATAGTAGGGTATATTATTATTAAATCGTCCGGATTTGAATCTCATGATTTTATTTAAATTTATAAAAATATTTTTTTCTGCTCTCAATCGATTGCGTAATTTAGTATTAACATTTCGAGTTCTTAGGTTTTCGCGATTGTTACACATAGGAAATTTTTCCGGATTTAAATCGCGTATATTTGTTTTTTCAAACAAGCTGACGTTTCGGGCCCTTAACAGGTCCCTGTCAACCGTGACCATGAGTCACGAATCCCTTAGAAAGGACTCTTAAACTATTACCTATTAGAAGTCCGAAATGACGTTTTCCAGAAATAACGTTTGCTCGAATTTTCATAACCTCGAAAATAATTTTGAGAGGAAAATGTTTTTTCTTTTAAAAAGTTATATTTAAAAGAAAAAACATTACTACAAACAAACAAACATTACAATTAACCTAACCGAACCCAATCGTGTCTGCGATAAACATCCAACATATTCTGAAAGAACAACGGTTTTGATATAATTTGGTTTTCGGGGTAATGAAAATTCGAACAAACGTTATTTCGGAAAAAATCAATTCGAGGATGTGATAGGTTACCCCTCTTAAACAGTAATATGACGTCATCATCAACCCATTTATATGTCCCGCTGCTGGGCACGGGTCTCCTTTCAGACGAGGGTTTAGGCCATAGTCCGCTACGTTGGCCCAATGCGGGTTGAGGACTTCACACGTTTTCCGAGTGTTGTGAACCTTCTTCAACGTGCAGGTTTCGTCACGATATTTTCCTTCACCGAAAAATCTCATGATAAATTTCAAATTAAATTTCGCACATAAATTCCGAGAAACTCAGAGGTGCGAACCCGGATTCGAACTCACGACCTTCTGCTTGAGAGGCAGTAGGTCAAACTATTAGGCTACCACGGCTTTTATAATAATATGACGTATGTAGATTCATTCTATTATGTCAGGCTAGTTTAATTGATAGTTTATGTGATTATATGCTTTTGAATATATGTGGGTGTGATGAAGAGCAAAAGGTACCTCAAGCATGTGGACTGCACAGGTGATCGTATCCCAGTATACTGCACACACTTACCCGATGTGGTAATGCGATGTCGTAGTTGAAGAGTGTTTTACACGAAATTCAGTAATATGTATATCATATCAATCAATAGTCCCCATTCTGAGATTAGGGCAAAACACTTTATCTCTCATACTCCTGTTTTTTATGATACATAAATTCCCCTTCCATTAGTGTTTTTTACCTATCGTGTCCACTATTTTCTCATATATACAGCGCGTATTTTTAAATGGAACACTATGGGGAAATCCGAAACCATCGAAGTTTTATGAAAATTCTCTTAGGAATTCACCATTTCATTGTATGGGATGAAAAAATCGGGACAGCCGAAGTTAGTCAAATTTCATAAAATATTTTTGTACAAACTGATTTTCTTTTTTTGATACTGTTAGACTCAGTTTCTTATGGTAATGATTTTATTGTATTGCAAGAAAATAATCAGGACAGCAGAAGTTGGTCAAATTTAACAAAATGTTATTCATTTTGTATGAAAAAAACTTTTTTTTAAATTTGACCAACTTCCACTGTCCTGATTTTTTCTTCCCATACAATGAAATCATATCCTATAAGTATGATATGAGTACTGAGCCTATTGGCATTAAAAAAACTAGTCAATTTTATTCATTTTTTATGAAATTTGACTAAGTTCGGCTGTCCCGATTTTTTTCACCCATACAATCAAATGATCCCTTCATGAATCTGAGTCGATTAGCACTAAAAAAAATTTTATCAATTTCATTCATTTTTATGGACAATTTGCGCATGACCAAAAAATTGACTATGCCAAAATTGTTTTCGCAAAAATTTACTTAATGGTCCCTAAGACAGTTACCTTGTATCTCCTACGGCTTAGGACTTCCCCATATTGTCCCATTAAAAAATCTCTATGTACCCGCATGTTCGACGCATAAATGCGCATACTTCGTAGGGTTGTTACTGTAAACTCTGAATAAAGATTTTCGTATAAAATCAATGAAACTAGCTGAGATCTTTTTGTATTGTGTTAAGTAAAAGCCGTTATAAGAAAAAAAATGGATTTTACATTTCAGTGATCTGCATTTATGTTTAACGTCTCCCAAGTAATCCTACGTATATGGCTTCACTCTCATTGACTGATCACATCATGGTAAACCATAATATTAATGTGCCTGACAACCATACCAAGTGATCAAGTAATCAGTCTCGAACTAAGGAATTCTCTGTAATATGCTAGAGCAACTAAATTCAATTCGGGGCACTTACCCAGAACAACCACACCAGAACCAATTTAATATATTTCCGTTCCAAATTAATCCAGCTGGGAACCTTCTAATTCAGCGCCCTCAGTACAGACCGTATATAAATTCTACCTGTCTTAGCATTCGCTTTGAAAGGTATTTCTTGGGTGGTTGTTTGTACCTTATAGTTTAATGTGATAGGCATTTCACATGTATTTTCAAAACTTAGGAAGTCACCATACATATTTGCAGAACCAGTTTGAGCTGGTCAGAAAAACCTCTATGACCTAGCAATAAGAGCGAAAGAGTTTACGCGTTTCTGTGTACATAAATGCGGTGACTACTTTACAATTTGAGCCTCAAAGTAGCTGTTATTATTTCAAATTATTAAATTTAAACAATTTTTAATTATAGAAAGTCCAAACTTAATTTACATTTTATTTAAAGTATAATGTTAATGAATTTGTATTACCGTTATATATTTACATAAAATTGTATTATAAGTTTAATTATTTCTCAGAATATGGATTTGTTTAGTTATTTATTCAAATTGTGATAAATACAACATGTTACACAACTGTACTGCACTATAGCGTAGTTTATGCGTTTGCTATGTAGATCTGATGTAATAAGACCACAGGTAATTGCGGGGATTTTAAAGAACCAATTTCTTGTACTGATTGCATCGTCATTGACGCCAAAAGTCAATACAAAATCCACATTGTTCAGAATCACAAAACCTTTTAAATTCCTTCTATATATTATAATTTCTTAACATAAAGTCTATCTGTGTCAACCACTAAATTGTTCATAATATTATTTATTATTGAATTTGGAGGTCACAAAAAGCCAGCCCGTCACACCATACTTTCTTCTTTACGGTATGACTTTTTTAAATTATTGTCGAAACACTATTTGTTATTTCCCAAAGACCACAGAATACATTTACCAAACTCGTTAAAAAAAATTCATGCTTATATTTGCAGCATGGCAGCAGACAGCGATGGGCTAGGCTCGGCGGGTGGGGGCGGGGGCGGCGGGACGTGTGGCGTGGTGATGACGTGTGAGGGCGACCTCCGCGACCCCCGCTTCCCCGCGCGTCTCCGGCGCCTGCTCAGGGAGCTACGCTCGCTGCTCGCCGAACCTCATCCGCATACACTCAAAGTCAATAAGGTAAAAAGTAATTTGCAGTAACTAAGACAATATATTGTCAATAAGAGGCCCATGTACACGGTCGCAAGCAGAGATGGGCAAGTGCCCGGGTTTTAACCCGGCGTTTTTGTAAATCGAGTTACTACCCATTAATGCCCAAAATCGAAGACATACTACTACTAAATAATATTTGTTGCAAAATCGAGTTTCGTTCAAATTTGGTGACATTATTACAAAATATTTATTGCCTTCTGATCTAGCCGAATCTGATCGAGCCTTTCTATTGAATTAGTTGCTTGAAAATCTATTTGAAATAAATCGATACAAAATCGTTAGGTCGAATACCCTTGAATGGATTTTCGTAAAAATCGATTTGTAATGTGCATCCTTAGTGGTGAGAATGCACAGGTTTGCAAGGTAGACATTGTGAGGAGCTGCCATCTTCATCTAAAAAATATTCTATATATCGTATTTTGTAATAAGTACGGAATTATACCAAATTCCGTACTCACTGAATTTTAATCGCAGAAATCGATTAGAACCCGGTGCTTAGGAAAAAACCCGTTTAAAACTCAAGCGGGTTGATTGGGTTTTAACCCACTGCCCATCTCTGAGTCGCGAGTAAAATATATGGTTAATTTTTAGATTAATTTCTCTATTTAATTTCGGTGGCGAATTTAAGAATTTACTCACACATACTTAAATATTAAATTTCAGGATACCACACTCCATGTTAAAAATACTTCATGATAATATTCTAGAATATTTAAATAATAATAAGTGCCATCGAAATTAGGTAGAGAAAACCTGAATATTACCATTACTCAGATACCGTTTTCCCTTATCCACAAATATCACGCAACACTGATAAAATGTCCAGGACCATCATATACTTGCATAAGGTTCTTTATGGCGAGAATAATTCTCCTTACCTCTTGAATAAAATGAACCTCTCTCCAAGGCGTGATCCCAGAATACCTATTGAAGATATTTTGTTTGCGGACTCGTAAGAATAACACTTTTGTACTCACCTGATTAGAATATATTGGGCTTTACAACGAGATATCTATGAAAAACCCAGGTTTGGATATTTTTGGTCCAAGATCAAGATTATTTAAAATAATATTAACTCACCTAGCACTTAAATAGGTAATCATCCTTGTCGCTTTAGTATTAAGTAAATTATTGGCAAATTATAAACCTACTGTTTATTTCTTTTTACTTTACTATAATGTGTCAACAAACGTCGGGGATAGTGCAATTACGCGTGACTAGCATTGGATTTTGAGTTACCATTTCAGTAATTTGGTGGCCAAATCACATCCTCGTAAATGTCGTGGCAACCAAATTAGGCGTGAATTACGGGAATCTATTGTTACCAGTCCATAAACGACATAAATTAATGCTTTCTGTGCAAAAATGAAAGTCGTAGCTAATAAAAATAAATAAAATAATAAATAATAAAATTGTTTATTCAGTAACATAATGTACAGAGAAAACTAAATACTACTTATGCGATTTAATGTAAAAATAACACATGTACCTGAACTAGGAAATTCCTGTATTTCAGGTAAAAAGTACTACTAATTATAAACGTGGATACTATTAATATTATAAATACTTTTTAGGAGAATCTTATGAAATAAAATTAAACAGTTAAACAAAAAATATTGATATAAGTAATAAAGTTAAATCTCTCTCCTGTAAATTTGGTTCAGTGTCGATGCGCGCCTTTTACCAATGCTATGTACGCGAATTTGCACTGTCCCCGACGATAAGTAGGATTACAATCTGGGCCTGTACTTTCGTTCTCCGTACGAAACAATTTCTGTCAAATCAGTAATACTCGGATTGTGTTTTAATTTGATCGAATATTACTGTCGGACGTGGAACGAGAGAAGATCCCTCAGATTCAAAACCTTGTAATGTCATATTTACTTTTATTTATGTGATTTTACGATTTGATTTTGTTTTTTGTAATATTATTGATGAATTTATTTATTAATCAACACTGTATTTCTTCCAGGTGGAGCCATGGAATTCAGTACGCGTTACTCTTTCTGTGCCACGCGCAGCGGCGGCGCGACTACGTGCGTTGGCCGCGGCCGGGGCGCCGCAGTTACGTGCACTCGGCATATTGTCAGTGCAGTTAGACGGCGACGCCGCCGTGTCGCTGCGGTTGCAGCATGGGGCTGAGCTTACCATCAATACTACGCCTGATGGTAACATTCCTTGTTAATAAATGTGGTAACAATCCTTAAGGGTTCCCGGTCCATACATTCAGATTACCTTTATATAATAACAAAACTTTCCAACTGAATTTATTTTCTTCATGTCCTATATAAGAAGAAAACAATGAGAGATAGAGAGAGATCTCCTAAGATCTGAATTTATTAAAGATATTTTTTTTCTTCTGATAACACATACTTGATATCAAGTTTCAGGGTAATTTTCAGGTTTTTTTAATAATACTAATCTTTATTTTATAATATACGTTACTTTTTCGCTACCTAATTGCGGTGGCAAATGTTATTATTTAAGTATTCGAGTACACTCGAATAATTAATACTTATATAATTTTTATTAATACTTATATAATAAAAAGTAATACTTCATGATAATATTCTAACTAATAAAATTTTTATATTTAACTAATAAAAATTGCCACCGAAATTAGGTACAGAAAAATAATCAGAAAATTACCCTTCAGCATCTAACAGTCACTAATCGGCTGATTATATTAACCCCCTTTGCACAGCCACTCTATCGCCAGTGATCAGGAGCGTACAGGAATCGTGCGCGATTACCTGTTTGAAATTTTTTAAGCTGACGTTCTTACGCGCGCGATTGCTTGTGTTCGTTTTTTTACAACGGGAAGAGGGTCCGCGTGTTGGGGTGCGCGACTGCGCACGCGCCTGATGAGCGCATGCGCGCGGTCTTTCCCTTTTTCCATCCAACATCTTTACACACGCGCTCAATCGCGTACGATTACTTTATCACTCGCGATAGCGTGTCTATGTAAAGCTCGCTATTGTTTGTTAGAAATTTTCTTAAAAAAACATTCATCACTCGCAGACGCCAGTACATCAAGGTCTCAACCTAACCCAGAGATTCTCGCGGGACTAGGCGGCATCGGGCGACTACTAAGCGAAGGCGAGAGCAGCACAAGCACTGCGGGAACATCCACATCGACCGAAACAAACAACTTCAAGTCCCCCAATACGGTGTGCCCGAGAGATGGCAAGATACCACAGAACATTCCCACGCCTACAACGGATCGATGTGAATTTCCATTCGGAAGTATGACGCAAGCGAGGGTTATACATCGGAAGGAAAATACTTTAGGTGAGCGTTGACTTGCTCTTGAAATATCACCCGTTAGCATTTAAACTATATCTTCAACTAGTCAAAACTTTATGGGTAGCACAGAACATGTTTCTATAATATTGTAATCATGTTTTCAGGTTTAGGTGGATCGTCAAGCAGCATAAGGCCGCCGACGGACGCACAGTTCGTCCGTCCATCTACATCAACTTTCCCCGCGCCCCCTCCACCCTACCCCGCGTCTGCATCCCCCGCGGCCCCTGCCGCGAGTGGGGGGTCACCCGCCGGCAGCAGTGGGCAGCCCGTGGCGTTATCTTCGCCGCTGTTGGTGAATCTGCTGCAGAACGATGCACCGGCGCCACAGCCGAGGGCCAAACTTCCTCCGCACCCCCCACTTCAGCATCCTGCTAAGCTGGATAGGCTAGATGATGGACAGGTAATTGAATTTTAAGTTTATTATTATTTTACTTCTTGTCAGAAGTTCATTGTGGAGTTTGATCCAATGTTAATACAATGTTACGGGACTAGTACGTGCCAAGTGAACCAAGACGACTCCCGCGCAGAGAATTTGGCAAACCATGATAGAAGAGGAGCCTACAATATATATATATATAATATCAGTTAGATTTTCGTTTCTGGATAGATTATAGATGGATGAGAGTATGACTTGGCTTTACTGCCTCTGTGGCCGAACATTACCATTACCATGTCGAATGTCCCGGGTTCGATTCCCGTGTCTGGAGAAATATTTGTATGGCCTACATTTATTTCTTTCGTAAGTTTGGGTGTAATTTGTGGTGTGTTTGTGTCCATGGCACCCGCGACACAGGGTTTCCCTAGTGTAGTCACACTCAGTCGAGTGTGTGCGCGTTATTATTATTAGATGTTTTCGATCGACTGAACCTTATTTTGTATTGCAGGTGGAATTGGCAGTCGGGCGCGCACCGTTCGAGTACCGCGCCCCCCGGCCGCCCGCCCCGCGTATGTCACCTTCCGGCGCCCCTCCATCCCCGTCCCCCCCATCACCGATGGCGGCGCCGCCCTCTCCGCTGCCTCCCCCGCGCGCTGTGCCTCTGCGTCCCGCGCCTTTCGTGCGCCGCGCCTTCCCCCCTACAAGGCCTGGACCCCCCGTGGCCACTTACCGCGCACCCAACGCAACGGTCATCGGTCGAAGGTATATTTCATTTATTTGTTTTTCAATGCTCTTATAAACATTTAATTTTTTTAATTTCATTGAAGAACATATGTGACGTCATTGCTCTTCAACATAGTTTCCCGAAGTGGTCCCTACCCCCCAGTGGGCGCTGAAGAGTCCTAGGAGGCTCGGGGGTAGGGGCCTCGGAAGCAATTGGGAGGCGTTGATGCTGCCCAGGGGGCGCTACCGTATTTTTTTAAAAACAAATTCTCTATATAAGGTTCACCACAAATATATTTTTTTTAAATTCCGATTTTGTGTGTTAATATGAAAAATACGTGTTTTCGATTATTTTTTGTGTTGGTGGGCGTTGAAATTTTTTTTTCGTTCCTATGCTCTACAACATATCAAAATATACAATCTAGCTACACGCAGTATCGCAATTTCACAGGAGAAGCAAGTACTACTCACACATACCAATGACAGCTGGCATACACGCGCAACGTCGGCGGGCGGCTTATAAACGTCAACTTAACTATTGACTTGACGATTGACTGCTGTATTATTATGTTACATTCTTAATTATATCAAGTGACGGGACGAACAAGTTGTGTGTCTGGTGGTAATAAACTACACGCATGAAATCGCAAAGATCTGAGGAGCACTGCCACAGCGCCTGTCACCCTGAGACATAAGTTGACAAGTCCCATGTATCGAGTTCTTAGGTTTTCGCGATTGTTACACATAGGCCCTTAACAGGTCCCATGGTCACGGTTGACATCCGTGACCATGGGACCTGTAAAGGGCCCGAAACGTCGGTTTGTTTGAAAAAACAAATATACGCGCTTTAAATCCGGAAAAATAGTTTCATCTCCTAAGTCCCATATACCTGTAATTTCACCAACACCCTTAACCTTCAAGACCGGAATGCAGATAATGGTCGCATTACTGCTTGGCGGCAGAAATAGGTAAGGTAGATATATAAAAAATATCTGCCACAGCGCATCAATGCGTTGCACACGCATTCGCCACCTATTTAGTAGCAGTAGAGCTCCTTGTGAAAGAGTTCGTCCAAGGAATACCTCTATTATAGGGTATACCTATTTCTGCCGCCAATCAGTAATGTCAGCATTACTGTGTTCCGGTTTTGAAGGATAAATTACAGGCTCATGGGACTTGTTAACTTATGTCTCAGGCCGTGCAAGTGACAGTGGCTCTCAGATTTTGCGATTTAAAACTCTTGAGGTTCGTATTCTAGAACTGTACTCAATGCTCAAGTCAGGATTTGAGCAGACTTGAGTATGATTTCAAACACTGGAAATACGACCCTAATAGCAAGGACTTGAGTATGATTTCTAGTGCTTTAAATCATACTCATGTCATGACTTGAGGAATGAGTAGAGTTCTGAAATACGACAGTGAGTGGCGCTGCAACGGTTATGGACAGGCATGTAGCTTACCACCGTCAACTGATATTTTTTTTAAAAAATCACACTAAAAATGTTACCTATAATTAATATTGTATTTTGTTTTAGGTTTCCTTCCCCTGGCTTCTCATCGGAGCAGTTCGCGGCGCCGCCCCCTCCGCCGTACAGGCAGCAGGCGCCGCGGCCGCGGCTCCCGCCCGCCCAATCGCGCGTCACCCCCGAGGACCTGCAGGCGCTCTTGCCGCCCTCTACTACTAGCATGGACCAGAAAACGCAGTCCAGTTATCAGGTATATTAATATTATCAGTAAAACTTCTTTCACGGCACTGGTCACACAATACATACATGTATCTTAGTTTTCTAAGAACCCAGAGACGTGCATTTAATGGAGTCTGATGTATTACTTAGCTAAGCCTAGGGGAATAATATGTCTTCAAAGAGTTTTTTAGCACGCGTTCAAACACATCAAATGATGGACAAGCCAGACTTCATCGTAAAAAAATAAAAAACTGTTGCGATCTGACATATCTTTTTAATTTCAGGAATTCCAGAGGTATCAGCAGCAATACAATGCCCGGCAGCGCGCAGCTTCACGAGCGGCGACACAGCCCGACTGGAACGAGCCTTATCGGGACACGCTAGGGCTGTCACTCCCTGACTTGCCCGACAATTGCGATCTCGACCAGCTGCTGCCAAGTCTAGGAGCAGATCTCAACCTGGACGATACCGCCCTCTCCGCCATTTCCGACCTGGACCCGAACAACAAGCTGGACTTACTCTACGACCATCCAGCTCAAGACTCAAACAGTACAGACTCTGGTCAAACACCAGACGCGTTACTCCAGGAGATCACGCGATTAACGAGCATGAATGGACCCTACGAGTCCACAAGCCAAACCAGCGAAGTGCCTTCAAAGTCGGACTCGTTCGTATCGAGTGAGTCGATAATGCCCCCGCCCCCTGTTCCCGTGCAGTCCACATCTAAAGGCCTGCAAGCGTCGCCGAACCATACAAGCAACGCGCCTTTCAAGTCGCCTCCCAATGCGACTTTTTCTCCTAGTAATATGAGTTCAGAAAGAATGAACGCGAGTCAGTGTATGCCACCGCCGATGAGGCTACCTGTCCGTGCGACAAGTTCAGTTGCAACTGCGACAGTAGGGTCTCAAGCCACAGCACAGGAAATCGAGGAACAGAGCAAGCAGTACCTGATCAAGACTCTTATGAGGGACGACGACATACCGCGCAAGGAAGAAAAGAAAGCAGAAGAGGTTACCGTAGCACAGTGCAAACTCAAAGACGGCGTTCAAAGCGTACACGACGCGCCAGAGGTGTTTGGAATCGCCAAGTCTACGATAGAGGACGATAGCAAGAAATCCGACGATGAAAAGAGGAAATTACTGAAAAAGGATGACAAGTTGATAGCGCAAAAAGGCGGGAAACTAAGAACGACCGGCGCGAAAGAAAAACCAGCGACGTTAAAGGACAGAATCATCCGAGATGTAAAGACCAAAGTTGCCTTATCGCGGCCGCAAACCGCGAAACCTCCCACCCCGGGAGAAGCGCCGAAATCGCCCGGGGAAAAGGAATCTATCAAACTAAGGTTGAAATTAGATAAACATGAACCCGTGGTTCAACCAGTCTACAAGGCGGATGTTAGTTTCGTTAATCAACCACCGAAAGGAGAGAAATCTACTGAAGGCGAACTAAGAGTCCCGCCGCTACATATAAAGCTTAGAGGTCAATCTGCAGTTATCAAGAACTCCAAGAAGGAGAAGAAAAAACTCAGTCCTGGAGAACTGCATAAGAAAATAAAAAACAGGAAATGTTCAGAGTCAGAAGACAAGCCTCATAGGCGAGATTCCGAAGAGAGCGCGTCGAAATCGAGCGATAGTACTGACACAAAGACTGACGAATACCTACATGTGAAGAGTATAAAACTGAACAACCACTACACAGAAGGGGAAATGATAAAAACGGAAATAACCGGAGACAATAATGTTGTATATAGGATGAAGACAATATCGAAAAACGCGCATATAGTCACCAAATCCGAATACAAAATCAACAATAAAATTTCTTTAGACAAATTGAAAAAGAAGAAACTTCTAGGAGATGTGAAGATGGAAAAAGATAGAGATAAAGAATGGAGGAACGATATGTTAGATAAAGAAGGGAAGTATGCCCAGAATGAGGGTTATAGAGAGACAAACAATCACGAGATGAAGAAAAAGTTACCGGTGAAGGAGAAATGTGATAAAACCAGTGACGGGAAGAGTGTGCAATCGGACGCTGACAGTGAGAGCGTTAGTGGTGCTAGTGAGGATACGGACAGTCGGGTTAAGTGCGAACGGACGCTCAGTGCGGAGGGTGCGGAAGGAGCGAAGGTCGAGGCACGGAGAGGGAGTGAGGATAGCAAATTGAAGAGGACAGCAGAAGGCGCCCTCACATCGCCTAATGGAATCCTCTCTTCTGAGAAGAAGAGGAAAACTAGCCATAGTTCCTGTCCAGGTAAAACACCTTTTAGGAATGACTCAACTTATGAAAGTTTAAAAGCTAGCTAGAATATTGTTTCGATGTTCTTATTGTATGTTGAATATAACGTCGAAACTCCGCCATTTTCCAAAATGGCTGCAGCTCAACCAAAAGTCAAGAGTTGATTTCATAATGTTGAATTATTTCAAATGCATTGTACACATACACGGACTTGTTGTATATTTCGGTTAGTTTACCTGCCACACCCTCTTTAAAGTAGAATTAGACATCCTGCACAAAGACAGTAGGCGACGGGTTGTCTAACGTATTTCACGTTGTGTTGCAGATCCCCCCGGATCGACGAACGTGGGTACAGTGGTGGGTCGGTCGGAGTCGCCGCCGGCCGCGTCTAGTCAGCGCGCCGGCGCAGCCTCGCCGCGCCGCACGCATCGCCCTAAGGACAAGTCCTACTGCAAGCTAGTTGCCGAACGGGTCGCCAGAAACGAAAGACCTGAAGGAGAGAAGTTCCCGAATCGCTCTCCTACGTCCCAAGCACAGGGGGAAGACTCTGGGATTGAGTCCATGGATGCGTTATCCGAGAAATCGCCGAATCAAGCCAGTCAATCTCCACCAGGACCGCAGAGAAAGGAACGCCTTGACATGCCCCGTTCCACGAGTCCTACGTCAGTGCAGCGAATAATTGGAGTCATTGAACAGCCCCCAGCGAGAGACGAATTGCTTGAGCGGCTGTCGTTAACAGGTCAAGCGCGCTACGATTCTGGTCCACCAGATATTGACGACATCGAAGCTGAATTGGCTAAAATGCATGCTGACCATGTGAACGGTGATGACGTACCGCGACGACCACCGCCAGATACCAAAGACAGGGAACCCACGCCTATAATGCGCGACGATAAGCAAATTGACAGGGTGGACCAGGACAACAGTGAAGTAAAGACGGAAGATTCAAGACATGAGGATAAACCCAGCTCACCTAAGAAGGAAAAGGATGACTTTGATCTGCCGAGCAGAGTTTCACCACCGCTGTACACTTACTCGAACCCCGAAAAGAACAACGCAAGTGATGAGCCCAAAGAGGAGAAAGCTGCCGTCGCTGAAAACGGGGACGCGAAAGACGAGGAGAGTAAAGAAAAAACGGAATCCAAGATAGAACTGTTAAAAGCGGACTTTCCCGATAAGAGTTTGTTAGAGCAGTTGCTAATCGAGATTCCGCCAGAGTACGTGTCGAAACGCGAATCACCATCGCCTTCTCAGGAACGTGTGGCGCGCAGTAGCGTGCGCACGCGCTCCAGCAGCAAAATGAATAGCCCTGCAGACGGACCGAAGACACCCAAACTCAGTCCGCCGCAACCTGGCGACTCTCCGTTACCTCGGAATTGTTTACGGAGCGGGTCAGTCGACAAAACTAGCCCGCGTACGCAACCCGCACAGCCAGTAAAACCTGCGCCGCCAGTGAAACGCAAGCGCAGGGAGTCCGAAAGCTCGTGCGCCTCGACAGTAAGTTGTGAGGAAGCGGCATCGCCGGCTGGACGGCCAAAGAAGAAGCCACGGCGCGATGGCAAGCCGCCCATCCCACATAACCCGGCAATTGTGAAAGTGAAGAAAGAATCGGATAGCGACAGTGACGAGCCGCTCATCTGCAAGGTGCGCGGTAAGGGGAAACCGGTCAAGGGTGTGCGCATGCTCAAGGGTGGTGCAGAAGGAGTGGGCACGAGACGCTCCGTGCGACATCCCGCGCCACAACCGCCGCAGCCGCCACTACTGCAACCGCCGCCCCTCGCGCTTCCCACGCCTATAAGCACACCCGTCCGGCGGAAAACCAGAAGTGCCGGTTAGTTACCCATTTCATATTTTTCGTTTTCGTCAATAGATGTCGCTTCTATGTTTGTAAGTGAACAAAAAACAAGTTCTAAAGGAGGTTGCCATTTTTCAGTGGGTGAAGGAGCGACTGCGACGCCCGGAGCAGTGCGAAGACGGCGGGCGTCCCGCGACGGCAAGTGACGGCGGCGCCGCGCGGAGCCCCGCCCCGCGCCCTCGCCGCCTTCGCCGCCCTCGCCGCCTTCGCCCCCCGCGTCTCTCGCGCCTCCTGCGCTGCATCTACTCTACCCGCTCGACTGACACTCCCTCTGCCACTGCTGGCTCTACGGGTCGCCGCTTTAGCCGCAGCCACCGCGCCATAGCCGCAGCGAACAACCGGTAACATTGAAATACAACCATCGAGTGCGATGCTATTGGCCGGAAATAACAAAATTCGAAATTTTAAATTTAGGTGACGGTTCCAACCGGACATTATTAATCGATTTTTGATGAATCTCACGCGGTCAAATAAAACAAAATTGGGATAATATTTCATGCAAAATCGTGCAATAATTAAATATAAAAGCGGGAGAGGTAAAAAGTTAGTGAAATTTTAACGTTTTAGATGTGTGTGTGTATTAATCGATATGACGCTTTCACGTTTGTTGAACGATAATATGACGAAGTGTTCAAGTTTCAAATCGATTTGCCGCTGGACTAAAGTCGATTATCTTTTTTTAGTGAACAAATCATGTTACCATTCACTATAATGCACTTGACTTTTTTATTGTAAGTTTTTTTTTTTTTCAAGTAATTAAGATCGTGGTATTCGTGAGAAGCCAACGGGAAGCCTTAGTTTAGTATAGAAGTGTATATTGTACAAAGCACTCGGACTTAGGCACATTGTTGTAGGTTAAATAGCCAGAGTTTATGAAATAATGCATAAAGTTTTAAAAGTGAATATTTTCATACGTTTTTGCACGTAACGCGCGTAGTTTTTTAAATAACTTGTTTACGCGGGAAAATTGTGTCGGAAACAAACGCGTTTTAAATAAAGAAATCGTCTACAGAATATACATAATTTTATAATTATTTTCGTATACACTTTTGTTCTTTTTGTAAAGAAGCCATAATCAAAAGTTTTATTTTCGAAAAGAAAATTTAACTTTTTTTTTCAAGTGCGAGTTTTCCCGCGCAAAACAAGCCGCTCTTACGACGTAACGTTAGCGTTTTTATAAAGTAAGTGAAATCACGACCAATAATTGTAATTTAAATGTGAAACTTGGATAATTTCTTAGAGAAAAAATGATAATAATATCGTGACTGAATGTTTCAATAGTTGTCTGTGGGCTTCCAGTAACTTAAAACTCTTTTCTTTTGACGCCCCCATTCTTTCATTTTCCCTCCATTTTCCTAATACAAAAAGTCTTTATTATAAAAAAAAAACAATCTATTACCAGTGAACGACGCTTGTTCATGAAATTTCTAACAATTCGTTAGCACTGTACATAAAGATAAAAACAATTTTATTTAAATAGCTCTAGTATTTATTATCGCAGTTTTAATTGGTCACTTAGAGTAGTTAACTGTTTTTTTTTGTGGCTTATACTGGATTTTTCGCACATATACGTGTTGTGGTCGCTATTTCGATTTTTTTTCTAGGTCAAAATAATCTGAATTTTATAATATACCTACAGTGTTCACCGCTTCAGCTGTTTCAAATTTATACTTTTTCGTCGTCGTAGCTCTGTTTTATATTAAACTCTGATGCAAATTTTATCTACAATTTCTAAACCAAATATTTTTTACACAGCGAAAAATTTTCTAAATGGCGTCAACAATACGGTATATTCGATTTGCGGTTCCAAAAGCCTATAGTGAAAATATTGAAAGCAATAATTCGTGGATGTGACATTATTAAAGTTTTCTACCGCTTTTATACATTTCGTGTTAGAATATAATCCCGTGACCGGTTTGTTGATATTACGCCTTTAGCACGGAGCGGGGTACGGGAGGGACATAATAAGGGAAAAAATGCATAAATTATTTATTAACGCTTACACTTTTATTATGCACAAGCTCAAGTGCACGTCAACTGTCAAGACACTTTAGATTTAAATTCAACTTTATGTCGCTCGTGATAATAACGGTCCAATATCCAAAGTGTAAAAGCTTCATGTGCTCTTGACTGTACCTAAAACAATGTTTAACAGGTCTTCAAGTGACTAACTCCATTGCCCCTTCCTTTACCTACACATCTAGTAAGACTATAAATCAATAAAATGTAACGAAAGAAAGACATATCGTTTCCCGAAACCCCTCGATGTAAAGGCGTATTCACAACTAACACGTATTTAAGTGTTATCTCAGTATTTACGTTCTGTCCCCCTTAGTCCAACCCTGAAGATATATTTGCACAATATGCAACCTAATTAACAATAATGAAAATATCTTTCAATATTTCTTCATAAAGTTTCCGAAAGTAAACAGATGTATATCTACTAGATGAAGTACTATCAGTACACAAAAATGTACAAATTTATGACTTCAGATAGCGCGTTCACGCACTGCACGCGATGTGTATTCGTTTCGAATCCGAGATTATACTAATCTAGCAGACTTGGACCCACTTCAGATGTCGCTTGTGCACTAGGTCCGATTTTCGAATCTGATTCGTCCGAGAAAATAAGAATATCGCATGTACACCTAGATATAAAATGATCCCTGTGACATTTCGGACTGTCGTTTCTCGGATGCAGTGTGCAAATGCCCTAAAGTTGCAAAGTTGTTAAAAAGTAGCGACGATTGTAGTCATTCGGCCCGGGGTGCAGTGGTACTTTACAAACAAGTTTCACAGAATTGTCGATGCCTAGCACTATCACTGCAACAGTGAAACTGACCACGACCATTTACCATGTAAATTACCATTTTTTTAAGTTGCGGAAGGTTTTAACATACGTCTGTTCGCAGGAAACTGTCGTATTAAACTTGGACTTTATTTGAAAATATCTTGTGGGTCTATTGTTTCGGACGCACTGATTATTCAACATATTGTTGTTCTTATGAAATACAATACAATTTGCAATAATAAATAAATAAATAAATTCAATATTAATTGAAACTATTTACTAAAAACAGATTTCATTATTATCCAAATTAGGTTGCGAGTTGTGCAATATACGAAACCAAGATGTTCAATAAAATAGGCAGTGATAGCGCTACAATATATAGATACTTAGTAATTTGAATAAAAGAATATATTTTTATTATAATGACTATTATTTAAAAAGAAAACGACTCTTTGGAAGTTGCAAAGGAATCATTAATGATATAAAATGTTTGTAAGAACTTCAGGCCTAAGAAATTGTTAGGTCCTTAGTCTATGGTCTGTTGAGAACTTTGTACAGAACTAACAATTAAAACAATATATTAGCAAAATTTAAATCTTAAATAAAAATCTTCAGGCTAGGTTGTCATAACACAAAATTAATTATTTGTTAAATAGGGTTTGAAAATTAAAAGAAGAATAAATAGATAATAAATATGACTTATCTTTAACTACGTAATTCCCTGTACCATGAGAATGTCTATTTTTTGTGAGGTCATCCGCGTACTTAATTCGTATTGTAGCTAAATTATATCCACCTTTGCCACTTTCAAAGTATCTTTTAGCTAATCAGAATACATAGGGCGAGCTGTCATTTGTCAACGAAGATATAGGCTAGGGTCGAACCGTATTAAACGCCTGAATTATGCACCCGTGTTCGGTTGTGACAAGGAAACATCCCATGTATTTTCAACTTATCGTGATTAAACGTAATTCTTTTTGAGCTAGTTTTGTCCCTAGCCTCAGGGTTCTACATAGTCTACATGCTCAAATACCCGTACTAATACAATTCATTTAAATTTTATAAGACAACCCTTCTCCTTTGAGGAACCGTGCTCTGCATTGGGACAGAATGAATACACTTTTTTTATTGAATTTAGGATGTGCCTTTAAACCCCTTTTACATTACGCTAATTTCAAGGGACTCCTAATTCTGCTCTCTTTATTATAACTAACGTAATGTCGATTTTTAACGAAATTGGGTTATCAATAAACCTGGATTCAGTGAAACGAGCTCTTCAATGCCCTCTGATCGGTTTTTTTACACCTTATTTCAGTGTTATAACAAAAATGTCAAATCATAATTCACATTTTTACTTACAAAAAAATTATTCTGTCTCCAAAGTTACCGAATTGCAAATGCGTTAGTTATTTTTTTAAATCTTTTTATTTAGGCGCTTTGATCGTTTTTGAACATGGTAGCCCTATTAGAAAAACAATAATCAAGAAAATAATAAAATCTAGACAGATAAATCAAAATACTACCTAACCAAATATATACACAAAATCTTCGCGGCTCTACATGCTGGCTCCGACAAAACAGATTGAAGTTATGACAAAGAGGGCAGAAATGCTTGCCTATGACTCAAATATAATCGTAATGGTAGTTTTTCGCTATGTGGTTTTTAACACTATAAGTTCACATTGAATTGATTATGTTTGAAATTAACGAAAGAAAATTGGAAAAACAAAAACAAATTGAAGATAAATGTCATTACGACAATTTTTGTACAAATAAGAAATAGAGCGTTGTAAAAATCAATTTTATCCACTAATACAGTGATTGGCAATATTTTTTACAAAAAGCCTGAAAACGGGAACAGTCCATGGCAACACGGGTTGCCAGAAATTGAATATGCCATTCACGCTTATTAGAGGATTTCTGTTTAAATAGTGCGGAGATAGGGTTACGGTTAGAGCACACTTGTTGCATGCTTGACGTTGAAGCTTGCTGACAAGCGTGGATTATGGATTATAGGTTGGATACCTTATACCCACGTTTTCTCATCACAGTAAAATGAACATGATGTGAATGGGGCTTGACAAATGTTAACATATCCATGCCTTACTTTCTCAAACTCGTATCTTATAAAGAGTGATTATTCAGGAGATAGTAAAACTTTCTATTTATTTTAAATTTATTATCAAGGGTGTTAATTTGGATGCATTCCTTTAAGAATAGATAAAAGCCAGTGTGTGAAGGATATGTGATGTGAAATCATCCTGCAAGATTTGTATATACAATCCATTTTTTGCATTTCAGTAACTTTGCGCTTTTTTTAGATACGAGTTTGAGAAAGTAAGGCGACGCTATAGTGGTCAATCGATATCATAGAATGAAGACTTTATAGGCGCTATTTTTATCTCGTTTGTATTCCTTGTGTGCTCACCACAAACAAGATGAAATCTAAGTGGCTTATAAAGTGTGAATGATATTTGTCACTATAACAATCGGGGGAAAACGTAACTTCAAAGTTTTTGCACCACTAACTAACCAATACACTTAATTTATAGTAAAATTTAAAAGGAGGTTTCGTGTATAACTGTAATATCAAATTTTGACTATCATAATAACGGTGTTGGTGAAGCAATTGGAATAACGTTGCATTTTCAATATTAAATACCCTGAGCTTAAACAAGGTTTGATTGATAAAAATTTTTGAAACTGGTGTACTAAACGTCATGTTGAAAATTTGAATTTGTGAAAAATAATTTATCTTCTTGTTTTTCTACTCTAAGTTTTTAAGAATTAAAAGTGCAAGGTGGGTCGAATTATGTATCGAGGAGTGCTGCCTGCCCGCTCCTTGTCATAACTTTTATATTTTGGTAACTTTTGAGAAATTGGCACCTACATTTTTTTATTTGGAAAATGTTCCCGCTGATTTTGTTTAACAATA